ATATGGGCCAACATTTCTAAAGAATGCTTTCAGCACCTTGTTGAATCAATGCCACGTAGAATTAAGGCAGTTCTGAAGGCGAAAGGGGGTCATACACCGTATTAGTATGGTGTTCCTAATAATCCTTTAGGTGAGTGTATATATATATATATATATAAAATTTATGTACAATTTGTATATATGCCATCTTACATATTATAGCATTATACCCTCACACCTCTAGGGTTGGTTGTTTAATTCCTGCTTCTGGCTGTGTGTGTAGAACTTGCATAGTCTTGCTGTGTTTGTGTGGGTTCCTTTCAAGTGCTTTGATTTCCTGTACTATTCAAAACATGCAAGTAGGTGAACTGGTGTCTCTAAGATGGCCATTGTGCGTGTGTGTGTAAATTGTATACTATTATTGTATGATGGCATCTTTATTTATATATATATATATATATATATATTATATACACAGACAGAGACACACACACATATATATGTGTGTGTGTGTATATATAATACTAAATGTAATCAAAATACTACTAGAAATGCAAATGGAGTGATGAACAGTAACTCCTTTATTTTTTGCACCATCTCACATTGCTATTAATAAACGTTTCAAATTCCATACAAAATAAAATGAAGCAGCAGGTTGAAAAAGGAGACGCTTGGCAAACCATTCATCTGTAGGCCCCTGTAACGTGCGGAGCGGTAAGACCAACTGTGGCAGTGTCTTGCAAGTGCGATATTTACTATAATTCAAAAATCATATATTTCATGGAAATTTTCATTTCTGCATGGCACAATTACGCACTAACTGCGAATTTCATCCACCCACTAAGTGCAACCTCAAACCTCACTATACATTAATGAGGAACAGAGAGACGGGGGAGTAGTTAGTGAAAGTAAACTCAATTCTTTTGGGCAGTATTCCTTGGGGGCGACAAACAGTAAAGGGCATGAGTACTAGTTAAGCAGTTGGCACAGTTAGCCAAGCTCTGTCAAGTCACAGCGGTGGAGGCCCTGGTGGAGACTTAGCCAACAGATTGAGCAAGTGACTGACCAGGCCAGCATAAGGGTCAGTTATGGTCCAGAAAACATGTTATTGACCACATATCGGGGCAACTCAGAGCAGATCCAGGTGCTGTAGGAACCAGAGAGCTGTGTTGAGGAAGCAGTCGAGCTGGGTGTCCACACGGGACAGAGAGTGGCCATCCTCAGCAAACCACAGCACCCTGCAGGCAAAAGGACAGTCCATCACTGGACCATGGACAGCCAAAAAGCCTGAGGACAGGAAAATGCTGACGGAAATCACATCTGACCTGACCGGCGAGCCCCTGCCCTTCAGTGCTCGGTACAGTTCCAGCCCTTGGTGAGGGCACACCCTCTTATCCTTTCCTCCCAACATCAGGAGTACTGGGGTCCTAATCTGCCAAAAATTCAACAGAAAAATCTTAAACTCAATCAAATGAATAAACTGAAAAACTGAACTTTTCTCAGACAGCCAGAGACAGAGTCAGACAACAGCTAGTCAGCCTCAGCTCATGCCCTACTCCACTGTATAGGGGACATTAGCCTAACTACGCTATCTTAATGACACAACAAGCTACATTTAGCACTGGTTGTGTTTTTGTAAAATAAGGACAACTGAGAACCATGTGACAAGCAGACAGGAAGAAGGAAGAGGGTCTTAGATATGTGAGTGCAGACTGGTTTGACAAATGCAACAGACAGGAACAAAAACGACTATGCCATCAGTGACGTGAAAAGACGCACAACAGCTGAAGAGATATTGAGTTGTTTAAGGGCTACTGCTGAGATACTAGTATCTGTATTCTGGCCGGACTTACGCAGGTATCAGAACACTGAATTTACTGCTTTTAAAGACATTTTTAATGACGCTTTTAGTACCACTCTAATACCACTCTGAGTCTTAGTTAGAAAACGAGTCATCTGTTGATAGTTGTATCCTTCATATTGTTATAATCCTGAACCTGAAGAAGATTTTTCTTGTTTACTCAAAGAATGTCAAACACAAACATAATCGCTGTGTATCTCTGCCTGTGGACATCGAAGGTCTTGATTAAAAACTGCCTGACCTCCATTTGTTGAAAGATATTAAACCTGGAAAAATTAATTTCAAATAAAGGATGAAAAAAATCATTTCAAAATATAAAGCAAACCATTATGGTAAGCTGAATCTATGTTACATTCATTTCTTTCCACAATGATCTGTCTTTATAAGGTTCTGTATAGTAGAAGCAGCATACTAGCACACACAAATGGAAAAATCGAAATGAACATTAATAAAAAAGAAAAAAGAATCACAGTCCCACCGACATGATGTATATGCGGCAATAACGACCCCAACAGAAAGGGGCTGCATTCCCTTAGTCATTCTGCTCGTTCTCTAGCAAGGTGCAGATTGGCCTCAGCTACCCACACCTGTACTGTGCAATTTACACATACATTTCTTATTCTTTATGCAAAGAATTCTGCTTGTGTGTCAATGTGTTTTATGGGGGTTTCTCCATTAGCCAGAGCTGATTTGGAGATGGGTTCAGCAGGGTGTGTTTACCTGAGCAGCGTGTACAATGGGGGAGCACTGAAGCATGGCAGCCAGGTCGTCTGGACTGGGCAGCCGGTCAAATGAATACTGCAGCCCCAGCACACCGTACCGCCTGTCTCACACAGAGATGACAGTCCAAGAAGAGGCGGCCATGGCGAACAGGGAGGACATTTCAACTTCGGCAACTTCAGAACAGGTCCAGGTTGAGACTCACCAGTCAACAATGTCACTGGTTCCCAATAGGGTGGCGGCATTGATCACGGGGTTCCTGGCGGCACACGCTCTGTAGAATTCAGGGTACTGGCCGATTAAGTGGCAGGCCAGGAAGCCGCCGTGAGAGCCGCCCATCACGACGACTCGCTTGGGGTCCAGGGTGCTGTCACTCTGCAGAGCAGTCAGCACGGCTCTCTAGGCCACAGGGGGACAAGGGCAGTCAAAGCTTTTCTGAGGCTTTCCAAATTTACGATGAACATAAAAACGGCAAGCATGGTCGCATCGACGTATTATTTCACAGAAATTTTCAGTAACACTTTATAATGCATTATGAATATATCATTGGTGCATTATAGATGAGAGCTTCATAAAGTATTCATAATGCATAATACGCATGTCTATAATGTGTTATGCATTTTGATAAATATTGATAGCCACATTTATAATGCTTTGTGAATTCATTATTATTTGTAATGAATGTGTTTATAAATTACTAAAACCCTGGCTACCAAATTTTCTTCTAATGTTTTTTTTTCCAGCTTAGACTAGTTAAACAGAAGAAGTTTGATTATATATTACTGTTCCAGTGATGGGCACTGTACCTGCATGTCTTTGACATCCTGACTTCCAACATTACCAATGAGAGAAAGGATGCTGTCTTGCCCAAAGCCAGTAGATCCACGGTAGTTCACTGGAAAACCACAATAAAATTAGCAGTGCTGTTCACATGGGTACTTGGTTTGTTGAATATCAGTTATTGGCCTACCCCTTCTTGTGCTCCCATACTATGATCTTTGTCAGTGCTCTGGTCTCCTTACAACCCAAACAACAACAGAACAAAAATTCCAAACAAGCACAACCACAAAGCGAGGCTGTTACCTACATGTTCTGAGGACTGTAGACTCACACTGGCACAGAAACAGGGTAATAGTGTAAGTTTGTAGAAGGTAGTACGAAAAGGCAGAAAATGATCTTACCCATTAGCACAGCAAAGCCCACCCTGGCCAGTGCTGATGTGAACACATTCCATTCAGCAGAGAACTGGGAGTGTGGTCCTCCTGTGGGACAGGGCCCAGCATGAGGTCAGACGAACTGCACCAGACCCCAATACCAGACACATACTCAACACAGATGTCCATATGGAACTCTTTACACATACACTGCAGACTTTAAGATAAAAAAAAAGTAGACTGTATTAGTAGATACTGTTCAGGATGTTGTGGTGTCTCTCACCATGGGCAAATACAGCCAGGGGAATCTTAATGGCTGTTCTGGGACCCCTGGGTTTAATCAACAAGGCATCAAAGTCCAGGCCAGCTAAACAATGGAATGGAGACACAGGGTAAGAAAGATCTGCCGGTTGATCACCAGGGACCTGTTATTCTAGACCAGTGTTTCCCAGCCCAGTCCTCGGGGACCCACAGTCAGTTTCTGCTCCCTCCCAGCTACCTGTCAAAAAGTTCAGGTTTCTGCTGCATGACTGGCAGTGAGCATTCAGACTGGTCACAAAGGTAGAAAGCATATTACTGTGTATTTCATGACATTGCTAGTCAGTATGCTTTACACCAAACTTACCTACTGGGAGCTATGAGGGAGCAAAAGCGCAGACAGTCTGGGGGTCCCCAAGGACCGAGTTTGGAAACATTGGTCTAGACTGACTATGCTTAAATAGATCCCAGAAAGAATGACTGGTTATCTGTAATGAGCATCAACACTGACACTTCAATCCTGGGGGGGTGTTCCATGAAGCAGGATTTCTCAGTTAGCTGGGATAACTTAAGCTAGATGTCATATTCGTCCAATAAGAGTTTAGGTAAGGAGCATTCCTATTGGACAATCATGACTTCAAGTTTAAGCTAACACAGCTGAGAAATTTTGCTTTGTTTTGATTTGATGAGTGATAACTTTCATAACCATGTCTAAAATTAATGTTTTCAAACTTTGCATTTTTCTGCCAATCTCAAACGTCTGATCAGCTCTCCCCCTAAAGAGCCCATGCAGATGCCACCGTCAGAGAGCTTGACATTGACCGACACCTGTGCTATTAGACACCTGCTACTCTTCACTTTACAGGCTCAGTTGACCATGCATAGCGCTCAACAGCTTTTTACGGCACTCTATGGCATTCAATGGCAGAAATGTGTACTGACCTAACTGGTATAACATACTCACCATACTGCGTATTCTCCTCTTGCTGTGTTGGCGTGATGTTCAGGACACTCCACTCCAGGTCTGAGATCTCACAGGGGTCTTCCAGGGGAGTCCAGGAAATGGCTGCTTCTCCTCCTGGAGGTGGCAGGAACCCTGCATTCTAACAGAGGCCATTGTTCCAGGGTCATACTCAATTTACAGCAGAATATCATTATAATACAGTGTAAGGGGGAGGTGGTTCAAGGACAGTATCTCAGTAAAGGTTTTCACCAATACTGACTGGTGAGGTATACGAAAAAAAAAAAAGAAGTTTTCAAATATTCATTTTAAAGGCTAACTATATGTGACTTATTGACATTATTCCCTCCCTTACCAAAAAAAGTATACTTAAAGTTAATTTTTTTAAGTATACTTCTTGGGACTAAATTGGCCCACTTTTAGTTTATTAAAGTATATATTTTAAGTGTATTGATTTAAAACTATAAAAGATAGGACAGCGATTTTTGCGGCACAAACTTGCACAAACGCAGCTCTAACGAACTGCTTGTTTGTGCCGCACAAATCAGTGTTCTATCTCTTTTACTTTATGAGATATTAAAGGTTTTTTGTAAAGGTCAAAAGTTCAGCCAGCCCCTATACAAAGGCGTTCAGATGTGAAACCGGGCTCGTTCTGCGTTTGTGCTTGTTTGTGCCACATAAATTGCTGTCTTTTCTTTTATAATTTTAAATAAATACACTTAAATATATACTTTAATAAAGTAAAAGTGGGCCAATTTAGTCCCAAGAAGTATACTTAATAAAATGAACTTTACGTATACCTTTTTTTGGTAAGGGCTATTATCATCACTGCACCAACACAGTCCTAACAAAACAGCACATCCTGTCCCTGGCCCACTTTCGCTCAATGCTGCAAACACGGCGTGATTTTTTCACGGTAGTGTGACCGCACCTTTAGACAGCCTTTGAAGGAATAACTGAAATTCCTCCATACTGTGTATGCAATTAGTGTGATTTGATTTATTAATATAATGGCTTTTCACAACAAAACATGAATTATATTCATAAACACGTCCATAAAGTAAACATTTATCTCCACATAGATGCTGATGCTCACCAAGCATGGTGGGCAGTTGGGCCCTGAGCAGCTGACTATCATAAGATCCCTCTCATTGGCCAGCAGCTTCCAACTGCCAAACTCCTCATCTGCCGGAACAACAATGAAACAGCTTTGGGCAAAGCACTGTACTAACATGCTGACCTGAAAATGTGTCCCAATCCAAGGAATACCTCAAAGGTGCCACCAATTATAAGTACTCACTGTCAATAAGGCGCATCACTCTCTGAGTGCCTATGTCCACCACAAAGAGTTCCTATGGAGAATCGAGGCAGAAAACCAAAATTAAGTAGCATTTTCTTAGTTTGCCTAAATTAAGGAGGTTACGATATCAAAACAAAAGTATTTTGAAGTCCAACAGTGTACCTTCCAGTTCCTCCTAGGGCTACTGAACAGCACCCTCTGGCTGTCAGAGGACCAACAGCAAGCTGGCAAGGCCTCGTATATTCCAGCAAACTCCCCTGTGACACGGGAAGACTCCTAACCTTGGAACCTCCATGAGGCACAATAACTCACTCAGACATTGCAGTTTATAATTCTTCATTCCACTGGTACCTTTTCAAAACGAATGTCACAATTAAATCAGTAATGTTAACTGTACACTGTGAGGCTCCGTGTCCTGCAAGTTCCCTACCTTCCAAGGGTCTCTTAACTACATCCACCAGCAGAGTTATCTTCTTCCTCACCCAGTCATACTGCAAATGAAAAATAACGTAATTAGCTCTACATTCAGACAACTACAGCTGGGCACTTAATCCAATTTTAATTTCAATTAAGATTTTGGCTTCCTATGATTATGAAAACAAAATAATCAAGATAAAACAATCATTGTGCAGCATTTAGATTCACGATGATGCTCCCATTTTGTCCTGTATTATAAATCCAGTGCACCCCATTTCTGGCCTCTTCTTATTTCTCAGTTAAATTAAATTTAGAGTTCAAGGAAATGCATTGTTTTTTATTCAATAGATGCACGATATTAACAAAGTCAGTGAGTAATCCTGTTAAATATTTGTGCTCGCAATAATGGCCAAAATTATCGTGATTATGATTTTTGCCATAATCGAGCAGCCTTACAGTCACCCATGGCATTGGTGGCAGAAAAGTAAAAATCTGCATAGACACCTCACTAATCAGTTCACAAGTGGCCTCGAGGTCTCCATTGACAACCACCCCCCACATAGTGATGACAAGGCTGTGAGTTAAGATCTGTATCAGAGTTTGGCGGAACGTACCAACTGCAGGCTGAGGCATTGGTTGTGGGGTCCAAACACTTGGCCCTGCACGTAGACAATGTACTGTCCGTCAGGGCTGAGACGTGGTGATGAGATGGCGCTGGAGTCGGATGACAAGCACTCTACCACCAGGAGGCATACAGAGAGAGGATTACAACCACTGACAGAAAGTACAGCATTTATACACATCATTTAAACCTCAAAGGTACTCACCGCAGTTGCCTTCAAAATCCAGGTGAAACAAGGCAGACCTGAAATTAAAAGATGTTATTGCCTGGAGTGAGCAGCACATGGCAGGTCCTGCGATCAGTTATTAAAAGACTGCCTCTTGCCTCCTGTTAGAGCAGAATCTCAGGCCCAGGCGGAATGGTGCATGCCACCAGCCCACAAACAGCACACCTTCTCCCCCTGGTGCCCAGAGTGCCTACAGGTGGAAGGACACCATGATCCACATACTTAAATTTAAAGCACATCAGGGAGACACTACCATCCTGGTCGAGTTTTAAAGACCATTTCACCTTCAAGGTTTTCTTCTTTGTGAAAGTAAGACAGTGTAATTGCTCAAGTGTTCAAAGGCCAATCAGTACGTGGGATACATCATTGCCCTGCACACCTGCTCACCTGTCCCGGAGACACCTGTGTTGGAGTACCCTGTGGAAGGAGCACAGTGCCCTTATCTATATCTGCCACACAAAGTACAGGAGTACTCTTACTGGCCAAGCCCTCACCCCAGTCCTCCTGATAGACACTGCGGTCCTCCTGCGAGTCAGACACAGACGAGGAAGAGAATGAGAAAGAGAAAATGTGCAATGAAAAAAATCACTGGAAACATTCCTTAACAAACAACTCCTCGGGGACATCAGAAAGGCATGGTGTTACACTACTGAGAGTGCATTTCTCCCTAAATTAACCGCCAATATTAATGTCAGTGAAATTACCTTCCCACCTGTCACCTCCTCCCCAGAGGGTCCCGCACCAACATTATCACGCGATACTCTGCTCTCTTCACTAGCGAAAGATGGATTGACCTGCTTCTTCTCCGCCACATACAGCACTCTGCCCTCACATGGAGACCAGGCCAGACAGCCAAAGGGTGCTGAAACACAACAGCACGAGGAATGAAAACAGCCATGCAATTCTTAAAAAAAATAATAATGTTGATTATAATAACCATGTATTGGATAAATGGTTTTAAAGATGGATAATGGATGGACAACAGCAAAATGCCAGGTATTGTTAAGCACATGTTTGTACCATCACAGTATACTTGTCCATGTTTGTTTAAAGAAGTGAGGTCAAGGCTTTTCGTCAGTCCATTCTTGCTCCATATCTGTAAAAGAAAAAAGGAAGTAGAACACCCTAAAGGGAAAAGTCTTGCTATCATGTCACTGAAGTGTGCCATCAGCCAAGGTGAAAGGTCAAGACAAAGAAGGAACGGGGAAGCCTCAGCAGCGTGTGAGGATCATCGGCAGCTGAAATCTAAGTGTCACACGGAGACAGGGTGCAGTGTAAAGTGTCACGTGGCTTGTGAGAGTGTTTCTATGGAGTTATTGTTCACAAAATTTACTGCAAAGCTGGAAGGTTCAGGTCCATAAAGTACAAATCCTGACCAAGATCTTGTTTCAACCAACTACTTGAATGTAAACTATCACAGTCACAGACTACTCGACTGGTCGGTTCAAACTAAATCTCGGACTTTGTACTTTATGGACCTGAACTTCTCACTTCTAATTTACTGCTACCAGAGAGTTCATAGAAAGGCTTATATCAGGGGTGGCCAATCTTATCCACAAAGGGCCGGTGTGTATGCAGGTTTTTGGGATAACCTGTAGGTCAGCTGTTCAAACCCAGGTGTGAGGACTCTTCAGCCAATCAGTCTTCTAATTAGTAATCTAATTAGGGAGTTGCAGCGAAAACTCGCATACACACCGGCCCTTTGTGGATAAGATTGGCCACCCCTGGCGTACATCTTACAAAACGAAAAAAGTAAAGTGAAATGCTCAGAAGCAAACTGTCACTGACCACACAAAGCTACTGCTGTTGGAAGAATGTTAAATATTAAGAATGTAATGTTTAAAAATAAATCTTTCATTGTTTTATTTACACACAAGCCTGCCAAGTTCTTTAATGACCATCCCTACCTTAACTTAACCGCCTAAAAAAAGAAAAAATATAATGTGGAAACTTTTTTTGTATCAGTAATCTCACCTCAAGGAACTGGTGTCCCACACCATGACAGCTGGTGTCTCTGATAACAGCCTTCAGAGTCCCGGATGGAGAGTATCTGGTCAGCAATCTGAAGAGCAGAGAGATGACAGTTATGACTTTAACCTCAACAATAAATCGTTCTATTATGCTGAAATTATTGTTTACATTTAGTTTACCTTGTCAGTGGATTGTTTCTTAAAAATTAATAACCGGAATAAATATTTAAGTCTGTTAAACATATAAGGATTTTCAAGTAATGGACAGGTCATATGTATATTCAAACACCCACACAAAATCCGTAACTGAAATAGTTAACATATCAACAGGGCCATAATTCAGGCCATATCCGTTCACTGGGTACCAGAAACAGCACTGGTGTTGCCTCAATGAGCAACAATTTTGTTTCAGTAAATATATGGCAGGAAAGCATGCAGCACTGTTAGTCTATGGAACTGGAAGAGCTACAGCGTCTTACTCTCCCTGCAGGTGACTGCAGTGGCCGGGAGGCAGCGCCCTAAGCACGGTCCTCCCGCTGCATATCACGGTATACTGCTTGCCGAACCGGAGTCTCGTTCCTCTCGCCGTGTCGTTTTGGCTCCATTCTGAAACAGAAACCCGGGAACTATAACGATCACGCCGCCTAACATCCGCTTCCTAATTTATGGCAACAATCCGTAGTAAACAAAGGACCAATCCAATATTATGCCGGTGAAGTTCGTCATGTCAAAAACAAACACAGGAAAAAGTTGCCAACTGCTGAACAACATTAGATGACTGGTTATCTACCAGTAAACAGGTTGATGTGTTTTTCTCCTCGGGTCTCCAGTATTTCTGGGCTTACGGTGACTGACACGGGGGTGGGAAACTGGCTGTACTTTCTGAAAACCGCAGTAATAGATTCTGGTTCCGTTTGCACCTGAATGAAACACACAAATAATCTTTACTAGCAAGTTACCATTGAAAATTTATCGTCTAATATGCACGAAAGATTAATTTATTAGCATGATTCGTTTTGGAAAGCAATGCAATCTTCTGAAACCACCAAGTATGTATTATGTATAATGTACATGGTGTTTTAATAAAGCGGTTTGCTACAGTTCGGAATGGACGAAAATTTAAACATGCATGCACACTTTCCAAAAGGCGTATCCATGAAACATACAAAGAATTATGTAGTTGGAAACACGTTTCGTGTACTAGAATGCACAAGAGTACAGCAAGCATAACACGCTACTGGCATACAGACAGGCGAACAGAGCACAGGCTGCACTACATGTATTTAGAGGCAGGCTAGCTTCCTGTTACTGGGTGGGGAAAAAAGCCTGACGCTAAATGTATGTTACAAGCATCTGCGACGAGTTTCTGATGCTATGACACGGTGCAGCTATTTAAGCACTGGTTTCTGTTAAAATAAGCAGTTATATAAAGAATCTTGAATGAAATTCCTGTGGAACCTGAGCGATTTTACCATGGACTCCATACTGGCGAAAGTTGGACTATACCATCTTATAAGCGCGGAAATTGTGGGGGGGTTGTAGCATAACTAACCCTAGTCTATGACCTAGTTTATCGTCTAACCCAAGTTATCCACTGCTGGCAACCGTGTAATACGAATACTGCGCAGTTTTATCTACATTACAGCACGTTGATGAGTTTGGAAACTTACTGAACTTACTAAAGTCCAGAGATGGCATTTCAAAATAATCCGGATGCTGAAAATTACTTAGATATCTACTTTAAATAAGTCACACTTTAACAAAACTATGCGTTTTGTTATTCAGTGTATTAATTGTGATCGTAAACGCACGTTATAACAGTAAGTGCACTTTCATCCACTACAGGGGTGAGCAAAAAATATATAATCAGAAATTTTCAAGTTAAATAAATGACTGAATAAATAAACCGCGTTCATTCACAAATGGTTGATTATTGCTGTTATGCAAGAACTGAGATGAGTGACATTAAGTGGAATCAATGTACTTAAAATGGATTGATTTGAAGAAAAATTGGTCCCTGCAGTCTTACATTACACATATATGCACGCAGTTCCAACACACATACAAACGTAATGCCAAAGCTGAATCCTGAATCACTCAAAACTTAATATAAAATTTCGGTTACCTTGACTGGGAGGTCTGTCGTGGCAGACAGATTTCCTTATGAAGATGAGTCGTACACATATTTTCTCTATGCAGTCAGCCCCTGGTTATCACACTATCCTGGAGGCCAGGCCCCTGCAAGCTGAGGATAAAATAACACAATATATTTTACTTGAGATTGAATGCTTCGGAAAGATGAATGGGGTCGAGTCACTGATGTAAAATTGTTCATGAAATAATCAAACACATTAACATTATAATTAAGGGCTGCGAACCCGCACGCAGCTGGCGCTTGACACTCACGCTTTCAGACACGCTCATGCAAGAAATCTTACGGGAAATCTATATTGTTCTATTATAAACCTAAAATTAGCTACATCAAAAGCGTTGGGGTAGTTTGCAAACACTACAGACTGTTTATAAGGTAGTAAAACTGTAACATACATATAAATATGCGTGCATGTGTGTGCAGACTTTTCTCAAACTGGAAATCTCACGCCAGTCAGCTGACCAAAGTTGGCACCCCTGTTAGGAATCAGGGTGTGTGTATTAACGTTGTCAGACATACAAAAAAACACCCTAGAATCCAATGTAATCAAGAACACGTACGAAGTAACGTACAGGTTACAAAGTCAGGCAAATCGGAAGTGAATGTGGGGTCACATAATCATGTGACATTAAGACTCAAATATCAGTATTGTTTCAATTCACCGTTTCACTCACCCCAGTTACATCTTATTTTAAATTTCTTAAGTTTTTACTTATTTAAATATCACCTTATTTAATATGTTATGCTTCACACAAAATACAATTAAAATACACAAAATACAGATTAAATAGGCAACGTAAGGTTATATTACTAATGTAAGGGAAGTATCGGGTTCTCTTCGCAATTGGTAGGTGCATCAATAGTATAGCGAGTTTAATTTGGGACTTAATCTGATGTTAATACTGTTTCGGTGGATTGACTATCTCTGTATGGTAGACAGTATCCTCTTGGTGATCCTGAATTAGCTTGTCAAGAAAAGGGTGAACTAGTCTCCAATACATTCCAAGGTGGGTCTTATAACAAATGCACTGCGTCTGTTAGAAACACATACCATGCAGAAGCAGAAACCATGAAGACACACATCATGCTTTCAAACCTGACATTTTTTTTAATTAACTTTCCAGAAGCTCTCAGCACAGACAGCATATAAGCTGACACCCCACCCAGTGCTGGCCAACCCATGAGAGGTTAATGCAACTGCCTATATGAGCTGCTTCAGGCATTTTTAGTTTAGACAGTAACCTTTTACAAGTTGTGCACCTGGTGACTCCTGGTGTGGGATAGACGTTGCATGCTTTCACCATGGTTAGAGATTTCAGTTATCATTGTTTATACTTTGTTACTAATGCTGTAGCATACAGAGGCAGGCTCCCGATCTAGCAGATCTTGCTGTTATAGAAAAAGTTTTAAATAATCCAGGCTGATCTGTGGAATTACAAACTCAGCTTCAACATTAACAGTTGAACAATTTAAAAAGTTAACAACAAAAAAATCAGTGATTAGAGAATTACAGATATTCATAATATGAGCTTAAAAGGAAGTTCCTTTACAAGGTCTAACAACACAATTTAATAATTTAGAAGCACGTATGATAAACTTTTCCAATCCTGCAGAATGTTGCCAGATCATTCAATCTCTCACCAGCTCGATCAGTTCAATAACTATCAAAGCATTCAAGACAGAAAATGATACAGAGGTCCAACATTCTGGATTACACTCAGCGTATTCTACAAAAACAATACACAAATTAGCACACTTAAAAAAAAGACACCAGAAAAAGTATTTCAAATTTTATATTTCAGTTGCTTTTATGCAGTCTTTGTAAACAACTCCTGTATCAAAGTGTCATAAAATGAGGCAACCGACTTAATTTTAAAAGTTTAGAGACAACTTAGGGGGACCATTACAGCCTTCACCACCCCAGATAAACCCTAAAGCAGAAAAAAATCAATGTTTATTATTATAGTTTAATTCTTGATTTTTCAAATTTTGCTTACCCTTTGGGTACAAAGCACTGTAAGTCACCTAGACCAAGAAACTTACATTTAGAAAATACAGCCACTCTCTCTTTTAAATTGTGAATCCGGGTGCACTTCATAATGCATATTTTATATATATATATATATGTGTTTGCGTACTGTCCATGTGTGCATATTTGTAAAGAACGCACCACAAGCCAGCATACAAAATATACATAGAAAAATTACAAAATATTTTCATTTTCATTGTCCCCTTAGTGTGTTGAAACTTTTACAAAAGTCTCCCACTCAATAAATTAGAAAGTAAAATATTCAAAAACGGTTAATATCGTATGATGCATTTGTACATGAGATTAATATAATGTATTTGTACATGAGATTCATATAAAGATCTACACTTCTTTAAAATTTCCATTACTTGATATTTTTCCTGTGGTGTTAAAAAATTTTAAAACTACACATACATTTGCATTGTTTGTGAAGTCAAGGGTATTTGGCAGCAGCATGTTGTGTTACGTGAAGAGAAGAGGGTTCTTTTGCTGTTCTTCTAAGTGCTGTTGTCTTCAAGGCCCGCATGGCATGTGCTTAGTTCTTCTTTCTCACATCACGTCTGCCCGCTTGTCCCTAACTTTATTCCTCAGTTTAGTCCTTGCTTTAAATGCAGCAGAGTTGTACAGGTGCTATGAAGAAAAATTAAAATTGAAGTTCATTGGAACACTGATTTACAAACATGCTTTAGCACAACGTTTCACATCCATCACATTAACTTTCTTGGCCAGTTTGTTCTCGCTTAGCTTATTGCACGTTTGAATTATGCTGCAACAGGACAGGTGTGAAATGTTACCTTCTCAAAACGAGAGATCCTATTGGCTCTCACAGAAGCATCGAGTATCAGAGGTGGCCCCAATTCAAAGATGTCCCTCAAAAGCTGGTTATACTGCAATCACAAAGACAGTTGATAAATTACATTTATTTAATATGTGTTTTCGTTCAAACCAACAAACAAATGAGGAAAGAGCATGCAGCGTTCTTGGAGCTGTTGTGGCCTGAGTGTGATTAGTCTACCAGCTAGTGGATTCAAACCCATGACCCAGATACCAGAAAAAGCAACAGACTGCATAATAAATAAGCCTATATTTCAGTGAGATTCACGATTTCCAAACCATGACTTCCCGCAAAGTTCACAAGCTCACCTCATGTGGTTAACACTCATTGGTGTGGATTTGCCGATTCATGTGGAAATGAATGCAGCAAATTGCTTGTACATCCATCCATTTTCCAACCCGCTTATCCTTTATCGTTCTGGGTTGCGGGGGGTCCGGAGCCCATCCCGGAAACTACGGGCACGAGGCAGGGAACAACCCTGGACAGGGGGCCAGCCCATCGCAGGGCACATTCACACACCATTCACTCACACATGCACACCTATTGGACTGTGGGGGGAAACCGAAGTACATGGGGAGAACATGCAACCCTGGCGGAGACTTGAACCCGGGTCCCAGAGGTGTGAGGCAACAGTGTTAACCACTGCACCACCATGCCGCCCCCTGTACATGTAAAATGCAAATATACATGCCCGAGAAGTTCACAGACGACTCTGTGGAACACTGCCCCCCCACCCACAGCTTCAGCATCGGAACGGGATGTACATGAATAATTTATGAGCAGGGGGCCTGCTGTTACAACGGTCGCATAGCAACCAGCACAAAGTCTCTCACTTGAATGTTTTCAACAAAAAGTTGAAAAGCAGGAGGATGAGAATGCCAATTCCTTACTAAACATCTTAGCTGCTTCTCCTTCAACTTCCTGAGTAGCGTCTTAAAATGGCTCAGATAGCAGTGATTTCAGCTATTCTGCACCCAAAGCAGCAGAATGTCTGCTAATCTGAATAGATTATACTTGTATTATTCTTTTGCTGTTTGAGAAACCATGTTGTGCACAGCAGTTGTGATAATTCATTAATATTACAATATAACAGTATTACGTTTAGTACAGCTGTTGTGTAACTTATTTCCTAGATAGCAGGTGCTTTTGTGTATAACCTCCTGAGACCCGACCTATTCATTTATGTCCATTGTAATGGACATTGTATTTTTGCATTTATTTTTTCCACTGATGTTGGGAAACATATTTATTCTTGTTGTGCACTAAAGAGGACATGCTGTGAAATTAAAATAAGAATAAATTTGAAAAAATCTAAATTGTAAGATGTCTTGTTTCCTACAAAGACAAATAACCTACAATTGAAGGACACTTTTTCCTTGGGTCTCAGGAGGATAAAATAAATCTAAAAATCAAAGTATTCCTTGGAGAGTTCACACCTAAGTGCTCTTTAAATCATACAAGGTATTAAGCTTGTTCAGTGAAGCCTATCCACAGAGTTTGGAGGAATGTAACTTGCTGGAGTAAAGCCAAACGTGTTTGCATTCCAACAATGCAACCGCCATCGGGTTTTTCACGTAACCCTTTCCTGACCTGTAAGTGGTATCTCACTCCGGATTCCAGAACCTCTTTAAAGGCGTCATAGGTTCTTCTTCGGACCCAGCTGTCAATATAGATGCCTTCCACACCAAAACAAATCTTCTCCTCATTGAAATCTTCGTTCTGGAGAGGAGGATGAAGGTTAAGGGCTGCGGCCATTTATGATGCACAAACTGATATTTGTTCTTGTCCCAGTCATTTGTAACTCTTGGCACCTTTCCACTGCCATATAGGAACCTAATCATACCCAATCCATGCTGCAAAGACAGACTAGTTACAGCGTGGTTCCAGCTCACATCGGTTTTCCACTGCAAAAAGGTCGGCTCAGTAAAGACGTTGCTGGGTTTGGAGAGCAACAGTGACATAAAACCGAAGAAAAGCTTTATTGTTCACACAGTGTACATCATGATTTACCGTGTGCCAACTTCCTAACTTTCCAGCACATCTGTAAGAATCGTCGTGTTATGTTAGCCTCAAATGCTAAAGCTAGCGGAATTACCATTCACTTGTGCACATTCGCATTACGAATCCATTCCATTCGGCTGTTCTATGGTAAATTTTCAAGATCTGAATTATCAGGAATTCATTAATACATAATAATGTGCAATACTGCTAATAATGAATAATATACAGAGAATATATATATTTTATATAATATAATATATATATATATATATTTTTTTTTTTCTTTTCAGATAATCCATGCACAGAACACCGGTATATCCGTGCATTTCAACCAATCACGTGGTGAGGATGAAATCTGCTCAGTTTGGTCATGCTTTCAGCCCTGCTAGTAAAGCGGACCATGTCAGCACAGGGACGGCTCACATATTGTACAATGAACGAGGTTGTGTGTTATGGCTCGGGTACAGCTCGGTTTTTGATGACAGTGGAAAAGCGCCAAAAGTTGCTTAATGAGAACTATGAAGCTTAGAGCTCCATGCTCAACGAATTAAGATTGATTCCAAATACAGATTACAATTTCCACCATCTTATTCATATGTATCCAAGTTATGAAAGAACCAGGCTTCAATAGTGATTGCAGGAGGGTTTACTGCATGCTGTCCGTTGCTTCCTACTGTCAAGTTCCCACCTCGATGTACTGCAGCACTTCCCTGAAGATAGAACGCTGTTTTCGCCGGTCGTTCTTGGCTCGGTGCTTGTTCCCATCCGTCGCCAGGCCTTTCAGGCATTCGCACAACATGTCGCAGTCATCATATTGGAAATCCTGTCATTGAACAAACACACACCCCATCTGAGCAAAGGACCAATTGGCGACATGCGACAGCCTCCGCGTTCGGCCAGAAGGTGGCTCTGTGAATGTGGGCGGCGTTTAGTGTGGCTTTCGTGCGTGGCGTTTAATATAGTGACAATGTACCTGATCGATTTCTCGAGCCAGCTGAAACAGAAGGGCGATGGTCTCCCCCACGGCAATTCTGTAGTGGACATCATTGCACTCCAGGCAGGCCTGCAGTTTAGGCAAGTGTCTAAGAAGGAAGGGGGCTTCATCAGTAATTTTATTATGCCACCGTTGGCTCCCCCAGTTTGGTAAATATAGAGCGATTGTTCTACTACTCTAAAAACAAGGGAAGACGTCAAAAACAAACATTTAGTTTCATGTGAGCATAAGTTTAACATCACTTACATGTCCAGTGAGGAACTGAGATGAGAGGCTGGACAGAGGGTGAGAAGCAATGCCCAGGCCTGCAGGGCGGCGCAGTAGAGTGCCGACGTCCCCGGCTTGTGGGCAGGCAGGACGCCTTCGCAGCTGGGGTACGAAGCGGTAAACACACTCTCCAGGTGACTTAGGGATTTCAAAAGGTCCTGCGGCACCAGAAATATTCGAAACTTATCAGTGTCGTGAGAAATGACTCGACAGTATGATGCGTTTCAGACAGTCGGGCAATCAGCTCACCTCAGCGTTATCAGGCGCTGCGACATAACAGCACACGCCCAAGGCTGTGGCACACTGCGGAGGGGAGAGCCGGGGGGTGAGATGGGAGGCCACGGCAGCCGGGCCCGGAAACGCCACAGGTGGCCCATACTCACGCTCTGCCTGGCCGCCACGTTGGCACAGTCGTCACTCAGGGTGGAGCTGAGCACGGGCCTGAGGATTCGGAAAACCTCCTCGCCGTCGACGCCCGTGCTCAGCTGCACACACAGCAAGGCGCACATAGTGGCTGCTGCCACCTGCTCCTCTGCGCCTCCTGTGGGAGAACAAAGTGGGGCTGCATCACATGGCCTCCTCCACAAAAAAGCCTCTCCCCTCTTAGGTTTCACACCAGCCTCCCCACCTTTGCGTAAACTCCTCTCCAGGCAGTCGGACAGCGTGAGCCTCCTCTCCAGCAGGAAGTCGTACAGGATCCTGGACGAGAAGCCCTGCTTCAGGCTCTCCAGTGCCATCAAACGGGTCTTTGCGCTTGAAGGGGAGAGAGATGGGCAAAAACATGTCTAGGATTGCCTCTTTACGTTTCCATCGAGTAACGCACGCACACGCTCGTGGTCAGACCGAGCAGTGCCAAAGAACGAATGTTACACGGAGCCGCAGATGTCCCCGGTAATGGGTTTCCGTTTCAGGTGCAGCATATTCACTTCCCATCTCGAGTTTCCCCGAACACACCCACCTCTTGTCCATCAGGTTGTCCAAGCACTGCTTCAGCTTGTCCTCAGTCTCTTCCTGCGCAGTCTGTTCATCCACCGGCTCCCCTCCTACAGGTTACAGGCTCTGCTCTGACCCTGCATCTGGCACCCATGACCCCAAATGTAATGCGGCGCAGCTCCAGTACCTACCAGCACCCTCCTCCAGCACAGAGGCGCTCTCACTGGCACTGCTATAGTGACTCAGGACTTCACTGGCCTGCTCATCGTCGCTGGCTCCAGACTCACCCTTGACCCCGTTCCGCCCCCCTGAGTGAAGCAGGGGTAAGGACAAGAGGGAAAAGGAATAGTTGACATGTGACATTTTAAATTGTAGACGTTTTACAGACCTTCTTTTTGATTTTGTATTGTTCTCCTAGGATGTCAGACAACTGCCTGCTTAAAATTTCAATTTCAACTGCTGGACGGTCTGCTACCCTGTTTTTGAGATGTTCATTAGGTGTTTGTGGGATGTTACTGTAGCAGCCATTGTCTGTGAATTTGACCATGAAGGACAAAAGCCTGCGATCCTGGTTGCTGTGGCCATCAACGACTCAGCTGTTTACGCCAGTCACTAACGGGGTCAATATCTTTTAAGGAGTCTGGAAGCAGGGAGACATGCAGCCAATATATTACTGTGAATGCTGATAAACAGAGGACACTTGTACTTATTTACAGACAGATGACAAGTGAAGACAAAAAGGTAAATGTTTGATGCAACTGTATTTTTAAGAGACAAATTACACAGGAAACATTTGACCTGAAACTCGCCACATATCTTTTTCGGTCCGTGACCTTTGAGCTGACCATACGGGGCTAAAGTGACAGGCGGTCCTGTTTGGCTGAGTGTTGAGGACACCAGCACTTTAACTGGCTTGCAGTCACATGACCTGAGGCGCGGTAATCCTCAAAACAGTGGGAAGCACTGAGCCAGCAGGAATGTGATACCAGCAGCTTCCCACCCCCACGACAACTTGACAACCTCATGGAGAAGCCTTGTTTTAATCTGTCACAGTCTCACTCTGGGGGGTGGGGGGACATGCATATTCAAATTCTAGCTGTGCAGGATGGGAATCATTTGTTTTTCCATTACAATCAGTAAATCGAATAGAGTCAAAAGGCCTAAAGCATAAGCATGTAAACACTTCCACAGGACGAGCCACTGCAGCGCTAACACAACATGACAGAACTCAAAATCTGAGAGATGAATGATACAAATACTGGCAAACTGCCTGTTTGACGCGTGCAAAGGGGCCTTTTACATCACAAATTACATGTGGTATGTATGTTTCGTGAATCTGAAATTGGGCGTGTCTTGGATCAATATTGAGGGAGATTTAAGCGAACAAAGTTTGAACTCTTTTTTTTTTGGAGGGGGGGGGTTGCCTGGCAAAATAGTCCCCCCCCAAAAAAAGTTTAAACTTTGTTTGCTTAAATCTCCCTCAATATTGATCCAAGACACGCCCAATTTCAGTTTCATGAGTTACTCATGTGACCAAATCAGCTCGTTAAAATCCGTGACGATGAGGTCTGAAAGTGTGATGATTTGACATGGAATGACCCTAAATGTGCACCAGCCTGCTATAAAGAGGGCGAGCAAACACAGCTTGAAATACTCTAAAATGATCAAACGGGACAAAAAAAACCTTTCCTCAAGGTAGGATAAGAAGCGCTAATCTACTATTCCTTTGATGCTGAGACCAGACTACCTCAAAATACAGTCAAATCAACATTTTTACCACTGCAACCAACAGCTCAGGATCAGAGTAAGGCTGGCACTATAGTTAATATTAATAACTGAGTAATCTACAAATCAATATGACGATTTACCAAGTAATCAATTATATAATATGCTATAAACTGTAATCAGCAAGAGGCAGGAGCCGACCATGGACGGGGCACCAGCTCATGGCAGGGGATACACTCACTCAACTCAGGCACACAAATTTCATATAAGCTGCGTTTTTTGAATCATGCTACCCACTGGGCCACAGTGTCGCCCTCGATACTAAGGCCGGCTCCATGCGCTACGTTAACATCATCAATTGTCACATTGAGACTGTGATAGTCACCTGAGTAGAGACCATCAATAAGTTGCACTAATACACTTTTACTGTCACAGGAAATAAAACTCAGCAAGCTTTGCGGTATTAATGAATGTAGAAATGAAACTACCTAGTAGACGTTAAAAAAAAAAAAAAGATTACTGTTGCTGCTTTTGTATAAGCTCTGCATGCACTCTCCGAGCCAATCATAATCATTCGCACCCATACTGTTTGACTCACCATATACAATGTGGTGTATTTCTGAGAATGTTTTAAAAATTACTGAGGAAGAGAAAAGTGAAAAAGAACTGGTTACGGAAAGACATATTTGTCTTCCACTGTTTAGAATTATTTTGGATCCCATAGAGACAATATTGAGCAAAGGCATGTGATTTGTCCAGACTCTTCTGACTGTTGGCACACCTTATGGCAACACCACTAACTTACAGTCATTGACAAAAGTCTTGTCACATAAGGACATAACTTAAAAAGGCATATAACTTTATTTCTAATCAATCAATTGTTACAATGAATGGATCAATTTAATGCCAAGGGCTTTCACATTAATGACTGGGTGCAAAATGAAACAGTCAAAAAGTGTCCTGATGTTCACAGCTTGTTAAAGTCCAAAACACCTGTTTTTGCAAGGACAAAAGTCTTGTCATGTCTTTTAATTATTCAACCAATCACAAATTAGAGGTTCACCTGTGACAAATATTGTAATTAACATAATCCCAGGTGTGTATAAACAGAACCCCAGCACACCAGACCTTCACTTGAAGTGCAGCCTGGCTTCTGACAACATACCAAAGATTCAACCACAGACCAAGTCTGCTGCTGAGGTGGCAGACATCCTTAATGTATCCAAACATCAAGTGGAGAGGATTAAAAAAA